TCCCTCCCCTAGTCCCTGACAACCACCAATCTGCTTCCTGTCTCTATGGATTCGCCTGTTGTGGGTATTTCAGGTCAATGAGGTCATACACTGTACGGCCTTTTGTGTCTGGCTGCTGCTGCTTTTTTCTTTTCTTTTTTCTTTCTTTTTTTTTTTTTTAAATTTAAGAGGCAGGGTCTTGCTCTGTCGCCCAGGCTGGAGTGCAGTGGTGTAATCATAGCTCACTGCAAGCCTCAACCTCCTGGGCTCAAGTAATCCTCCTGCCTCAGCCTCCCAAGTAGCTGGGACCACAGGTGCAGGCCACCACGCTTGGCTAATTTTAAAAATTTTTTGTAGAGACCGCGTCTCTCTATGTTGCCCAGGCTGGTCTTGAACTTCCGGCCTCAAACAATCCTCCCGCCTCGGCCTCCCAAAGGGCTGTGATGACAGGCACGGTGGCTCAATGTTTCATTCCTTTTTCACAGGACCATCTTTTTGCTCTGTACTGACGAGTCCACACATACAGGGAAGTGTGTGCAGTGCAGGGAGTGTGCAGGGGTCCCCTCTGGGGCCTTCCATGTAACCATCACCTGAATGAAGATGGGGGACACCTACCCTCTGTCCAGATTCCTGGGGTGCCCCCTTCCCATGAGGGACTTACTGTTCCAGAGTGTTTAAGATGGAGCCCTGGGGGAACTCGAGGCAGGGAAGGTGCCTGGCACAGGACAGAGAAGCTGGGAAGAGGTGGTGGCTGGGGGAAGATGGGGGCCTCTTTCGTTTAGGGAGAAAGAAGATGGGGTGAGGCCAGCAGGATGCGGGCTGTGAGGCCTGGCAGATGAGAGAGAGGCGGCAGAGCTGGTCCTGGGGCCTGGTGTTCCACTATCCCAGTCCTTGTGACCACTAGGTTTGGGGAAGAGGTGACATGGCAAGGGGAGGGCACAGGGACAGGGGGCACACCCTGGGCACGCCACACGTGGAAAGTCTGGCAGCAGTGATGTTCCCGTTTGAGAGGCTGGGGCGCCCAGGGAGGATAGGAGAGAGCAAGGCCACAGTGCGAAGGAAGTGGCAAGGCCATCGCCAAGGTCCCATTGTAGGGGGTGGTGAAGGTGGTGGCCAAGCACGCCGGGGAGGCAGAAACCGGAGACACAATGACACAGAGAGACAGGATCTTCCTGAAGGCCTCATTCCACAGGGGGATGGATATTGGTTGTTATGGACTTCATGTCTGTGTCCCTCACCAATTTTTTTTTTTT